ACGTAATGAATGTAAACTGTATTACCGATAGAGCAAAGAAGTTAATTCTTTTATCTGTAAAATAGTGGCAAGAGTAGACACCAGGTGGCGCTACTACTACTACTACAGTAATTAAATATCTCGAGGAACGATATGTATAATTAAATTCTTACAGTATTCATTGGGATTTAAACACATTAGCTGGTTAGAATTAAATTACTAGATGATTTAAAATTTTGATAACGGCCTGCTTATGGCCTGTGTCATGTTACTACGGTACCGTTTGACCATTTTCTAACTGAATTCGGCCAGAATACGGCATGCCGCGACATAAGCGTTCGGCTTTTCCCAGCCGGCCCGCTTACGACCTGCATCAGTTACCCCGGTTACCGTTTTTCCACCTAACCGAAATCTGTCAGAATACGGCCTGGCGCGGCATAAGCGATACATCTCACGGTTGCTAACGCACGCGAGCTAACTATAAAAAGCGATGGGTTGAAATATTTAGTTAGATGTGTGCGTCTGTAATGGCACAGCTGAACATTGATAGTTTAAAGTGACATCGACAACGTTCTGCTGAAAAATCTCCCCCGCAAAGTAGTAGACTGCAGCACTTCCCCAAGCAGTGGAAAGAAGCCATCATTGTGACCATACTAAAACCCGGTAAGGATGCTAGCAAAACTACGAGCTACGTAGCTACGAGCCGATAAGTCTTTTGAACACCCTGTCCAAGGTAGCCGAAAGGCTCGTACTGGACAGGATTAGTAAAATCGACAGACGGCTTGCGTTAACACCACCTGAGCAATTTTTTTTCAGACCTGGGCACAGCACTGTTCACCAAATCGCGAGAATAGTGCACGATGTCAAGCAGGCATATAACCGCGATCAGTCGACGGTTTTATTACTGCTTGACATGGAGAAAGCTTTCGACACGGTTTGGACGGACGGTGTTGTCCACAAATGCCACACGATAGGTCTACCCATACATCTCACTAAATTGCTCGATTCGTATCTACGCCAGCGAACCTTCCGGGTCAAGGTATCAAACAAGCAGCTCAAATCCTACTGGGATAGATGGCTGATCAAGATAAACCAGACAGAGCCGGTCGCCAAATACCTCGGTGTACAGTTAGACAAACGTCTAAACTTTCAACACCAGCTGTTGTGTACAAAGAGAAAAATGTACGGCGCATTAAGATCCATATATCCACTGCTGTCACCAGACAGTGCTCTTTCTATCGAAAACAAGGTGCTGCTGTACAAAACAGTATTGCGTACTTACGTACGCAGCACCGGTTTGGTGTAGCATGTCTAATACGCGCAAAATGCATTTAGAACGACTGCAAACTAAGGTGCTTCGCACCATCACGCAAGCACCTAGGTATACTACCATCGGGGAGATGCAGAAGCAAGCAGAGTGTTTGTCGCTTGTGCAACACATTCAGGAGCTGGCTAATAGGTTTTACACCGTAAACATCAAGGCTTCACCTTTAACTCGAAACATTACAACAATAAGGCATGGAGACCCCGATGTGATCAAACACAACCTCATATACAAAGACCTACCCGTGAAAGGAGATTATTTCGACCCGCTGCGGCGACCTGGGTACATACCCAAGCCGTGGCGAAAAAAGGAATCCCAGGCAATTTTTGCAAAAAACGCAATATAAGACCGATCGCCGAGCCTTTGTTTAAAATAAAGGTAAGACGACGGACAAATAAAGGTGTGCCGACAGCACCCGAAACCGCACCTTTATCTTTAACTTTTTTGGTAAGGGTGTGGTGACTGCACAAATAAAGGTGTGCGGACTGGGCCATTTCAGTGGACACACCTTTATCTTCAAAATAAAGGTGTAGTGGCCGGCCTCACTGAACCCACTGCATCTTTGTTAAAAACCACCCAACATCGATATTGGCAATATGCCTATAAACAAGAATAATAGACATTGTAACTAAACGTCTCAAAAAAAATTTAACACGCATATGACAGGGTTTTTTACTTTATTTTTCCCTGAATAAACTCTCACCAAGCAAAATCAAGAAAGTCGTAAGACATTATAACCAAAATTCACCAGAGCACAAAATAAATGTCCCCCATAAGCGCGAAGCGCATACAGGGGAAATAAAAGTCAGAACCAAAAACATGTGTTGCGATTTGTACTGTTTGTCTAACATCGACGGCCATAAGAGCTACGCCGTAGCTCTTATGGCCGTCGATGTTAGACAAACAGTACAAATCGCAACACATGTGGCGGCGATAAGGGGCCCGCAGGGCCCGCCATGCGGGGGGGCCCCAGCTCCAGAAGGGCCCCTTTGACCTCCTTGCTAAAATTCCTAATTGCTTTAAATAAATAATAAAAAAAATAAAAAATTGATAACAAGAAAAGAAAAGAGGTGCCTGAAATTAAAAATAATCTTATTCCAAAATAAAACTATATGAATCAATCATAGATATATTTTACCAAAAGTTCACGCTCGGACACCGTCAGCAAAAAAATGTGTTTGTTTTTTATTCGCCGACCCGATAAAGTACAAAGAACCCTGCCGACGCGCCGGTTTCTTTTGACGGCTTATTTGAAAATAAATTCGGTAATGCAAAGGAAAAACGCGCCTATAAAATAAAAATCAGTTTAGTTGCAATATACTGTCGTGAGTTCCGGGTTATCGCGTTTTTCTTTTTTTAATTACTTACGTACGCGGTACGCACATAATTTTTTGTGTGTCTTCGTGTGATCTTTGTTTTTTTGCCGTGAGGTTTATCTTATTTTAGTAAAAGAAATAATGACTGATAAAGCTAGACAATACCTCAGTGGTGCTAAAAAACGAAAAACTGGAAGCAATTGGTAAATTGCCAAAGATCGATGGTTTTTTTAAAGCCATAGGTGAAACAAGGATAAATCAGGAAAATGAAGATAAAAAAGATGATATTAAAGAAGAGAATATTTCACAAAAAGTTATTAATACTGGAGACAGCGAGGGAGGCATACCAAAGCAAAATTTTGGAAAATATTAGTTTAGTGTCCAAGCTGCTACAAAGTTCTACCGTTGATCTGGGACGAGCATGCGAATTATTGAGCTCCACAATAGATAATTTTAATACTATTAGAGACGATTTCGAAATATTGCATGCGGAAGCAACGAATTTGGCGACATCGTGGAACATTCAGCCAAAATTGAAATCTAAGCGCCAAAGAATGGTCAAGACATTCTTTGATGAACTTGCAACTGACACTGGAATAGAAGATTCTCTAAGAAGATTTCAAATTAAAGTCTTCTACGAATCTCTTGATATAATAATTAATCAACTCAGAACACGATTTATCAGTATGAACAAAGTAATGAGCTATTTTTTATTTTTAAATCCAGATGGTTTCGTTAAATTATCTACCAGAGAAATTATAGATCATGTCGAAAAAATATTGGAAAAATACGAAAATGACTTCTCGAATAATTTATCTACGCAATTAATAAACTTTCAAAGTGTATTTTCAAATAAAATTCGAAAAAAGAAAACAATATATGAATTAGCCACATATTTTATATCAGAAAACAGATGCATTTTGAGCAGTCTTCCGGATGTTTGTTCGTTGTTTCAACTTTTTTTGACATTACCGGTAACATCTGCTTCTGCCGAAAGAACATTTTCAAAGTTGAAGTTGATAAAAACATATTTACGTAGTACAATGTGCAAGGAGCGACTTAGTGCTTTGGGTGTAATAAGTATTGAACATGAACGTGCGCGTAAACTTGATTTGGGACAGTTGGTAGATATATTTTTAAAACAAAAACATCGCCGTTTTGGCAATTTAACAGTGCTCCCTTAAACTTTCTATTCCTCGATCTATCCACTATAGTGGATTATAATAGCTTCACTAGCACCAGACAGATTTTAGCAATGGTAAGATTTTATACTTAAGGCAATTAGCAAATTATAGTATTTCTATTATTCATGGCAAAATATTGCTAATTGTTAAGAAATATATTTCTTAACAATCAGCGTATAGACTCAGACACAAATTTTTTATTATCATTTTTCTTTGGAAAATATTTTGTAATATAAATATATTATGAAATGATATCCCATTTATAAAATAAAATGTGAGACAAGCCCAGTTTTTCTTGAACTCCGCCATAATACAGAATATTTTCCAGGTGGGTAGAAAAACTTAATACAAAATCTATAGATATATCCGAGATTTTTTCTTACAATTTAGCATCTTAGATAAAATTCCAGTATTTCCAGATTTTATTACCACATGTCCGAGAAAATTTTGGCGGGGGGGCCCCCGAATTCTTATCGCCGCCACTGAGCTACGGCCCTTAAGGCACCCTATGCCCATTTGGTCTTGTAATAAAGATCTTGTTTTTGTTATACTGTAGGGAAACTGCACTGTAAAATATCTGTGATATATATGTTAGTAATGTAACCAAATAGGAAAATAAAAGTTTTGGAATTTGAAATTTTGGATCGTTTAAAGTGGGGATCTACTCAGTACCGAATATTGGCTAGCTGGTCGAGTGTTTGTATTTTTTGAATGTCCAGGCGGTGGTGGCCGACACTCGGCCGAATGTCGGCTGTGTATAGACATTCGGCCAGACAAACATGCCCGGTCTTCTTGCCGAATCTCTTACGTATTCCAGGCGAGACGCGGCTAATTCTGCCAAACTTATTCGGTCCGTATGCGGGTGAACTCTCGAGCAGAGCAAAAGGCTCTTAGATATGTAAATAAAAAGAGTTAGAATTTTACTCCTTCATATAACTTTAAAATACAAATTTTGCCCTCTTTAAACCACTTCAAAAAAGGTTCGTCATTATTGTGCTAGGCTATAGAAAAGCAAAAATATCACTTAAATAATTTAAATTAAAAACAAACTAAGATCTCTTATTGTTAAAATATATAATTAAATGTATTTAGTCCCAGTTAAAATTATTGTTTAACATGAAAATTTTTAAAATTTTAAGACAAAAAAATATATACAAAAAAATACAGTATTTCATTTTTAATTTTATTTTTTATTAGGTGTAATGACTACGAGACTGGAATGAAGCAAATCCTCCAAAACATACCAAGGTGTTTATAAATCTTATCAAGAAGCAGTATTTATTAAGGGTAAATTTATTTTTCTTATTTTTATTGACTAAAATAAAAGCATAGGCATGAATTGTTAATGTCAAATTTAATTAAATTGAAATCAAGTTAAAAACTTATTTTAAATTAACAAATTGAATATCTATCTCAATTTTTAATTTGAGTAAAAATTTCTCAAGCGCATCACCCAATCACCCAATCACCCAAACCAGATCCTAATTGTAGCGTGTTTTTTTAATAAAATATTATTTGCAAATGTTTGCTTACTATGTATTTTTGCTTCAAAATTCGATGACGATTATACCTACATTTTTTGTATGTAAAAATTTTGTTTTACTCCTTAAAATAGTTTTTAATAAATAATACATATTTATAAATAATTTATAAATGAACAAAATATTATACTTTTAGAATTTTGAATTTAAATTGAAAATAAAAACACTCCCTACTTACATACTACATTCCCGAATAACATTTAAGCTGCACAACGAGAACGGGAACCTAAACGGTAAAGGTGGGAGAGACTCAGCAAATATTATCGATCAACAGTGGTTTCTTAGTCTCTCCCACCTTTACTGTTCAGATTCACGTTCCTATTCCCGTTCCCTGGGCTTTGGTGCAGCGGGCTTTAGATTTCGAAAATTGAAGACACATGCGGGTGGTCCGTTTGAGAAATGTTTTACTCCATTTTTAAGTTCCAAATGCCAATGTTAAGGTACCTACTATACAAACCGGATTATATGCAATATTAAAAGTTTGAAATATCATATTTCAAATATGCATGCATGAAATGTGTCAAAATATACGTACATACCTACAACATTAAAATAAAAAAAATACTAATTTTTGTCTCGACTATTCTAAACTATATTTTTCTCGCATACTCGCATACAATATATTACAACAACGGGTTATGCTTAAGCATGTTTATTTCCCGATTAAATATATTACAAATTGTAATTTACAATAATACCGTATGTTATGGAATTACAACATAACCACAGCAGCATCTAAATTCTAGATTTTAGGTAAAATCAAGCGCGGATTTACATCCGCCCTCCATGAATATGTTCGTACAACGAACATGTTTATGGGGGATTATACCCTAACGAAGCAAGGTTATATAAAAAAACATTCATATGCAAATGCATTAATCCAGCCCCTGTTATTAGTTATTTTAAACACAGATAAAATCCCTACAAAATAAAAATAATTAATTTAGGATGCAGATATTTTTTTAATTTTTTTTAGCAGTGTCAACAGCGCCGATGCGGGAACTCCTGGCGAGCGTGCAGTGCGACACGCACGCAGGCGCATCATTTTGGGGGCTCAAAATTAAAGGGTTAATCAGTACTTTGTAACGATAAACTTTCTTGCAAACAAACAAATAATAATTAAAAACACATAGGATAAAGGTTACCGCCTTTCTTTGCGACGCGTCGGCCACATTAATGCCGCTCTTTTCTTCGGCAGAAGTGTCTACAGACCATTCTTCACAAAGGCTTTCGATCCCGCACATGCGCTTTGGTTAATAGCTGATCTATAGATATAGTATATACTATATCTATAGATCAGCTATTAACCAAAGCGCATGTGCGGGATCGAAAGCCTATACTAAAGTATATACTGTCAGAAGTCAAAAAGTTTTGTTATCATCCTGGTGGGTATTTTGTTTGTTATCATTGCGCTATTTTACCTATAATTTATAAAATGTATCTACCCTTACATATATTATATCTCTATTGACCAATGGGGCGGGGGGGGTCAATGGGGCGGGGTCGGTTGGGTTGTGTTGTTAAGTTTGGGTTAGTTTTGGTTGGTTTCGCTCACTTTTGCCCATTTTAGTTGATTAACAGTAGATCAGCTGATAAACCAAAGCGCATGTGCGGGATCGAAAGCCTTTGTGCTGTATGGTCTGTTGAGTCTAGTTTCTTCGGCCGCTATAAAGCGCCTTTTACCGCTTTGATATTGGCGGTTTAATTTTTTTCTTGATATGAGTATTAAAATAAAAGCAGAGAAATTGTCAAAATATTTTTAGTATTTGTTTGGTAGTTGCGGTTGACGGTAGGAAAGTTTAACAGTAGTCTACACAGTGTTTAATTATAATTGTCAGAGATAAATTTGATGATTGTTATTTTTAGTTTCGAGGACGTTGCCGAATTCATAGCATTTATAGGATTCATGGAAAAATTTAGATTTTTAAAATGAATTGTTTTCCAAAATTTCCAATAACTAAGAAATTAGGTTCTCACCTTTATTTCTTTATTACTCCTTAAATTATTGAGCTTATTTTTTACTATTTTTCTAGGACTCCCCTAGTGCTTACCTAAAAACGTACTTGAGAGCTTTTTTGCCAGTTTAGATTCACCCTCTATAAAACCGTGGTTTCTAGGTTATATTTAAGATTTTTCAAGTACTTAAATCGAGTTAAAGTACATATAATACTAGAAATGCAAATTTTAAATGAACCTTATACTAAAATAAGCTGTTAATAGTTTTAAAACAAGTAAAAGGATTATAACTATTAAAGAATTTATGTTGGGAATTTTATTTGCATATACTTCTTTAGTTAATCTTTACACGCCTATTATGGCTACCAATATACCAATTATTTTATAACATTGTGACGTCGACGTGATCACGCTACCGCTAAATTTTTAAGAAAAAATTTATAGCAAAAATTTTTTTTTTTTAATAATCTCTATAATATAAGTAATTTTACACAGTCCCAACCCCACTCCCCTTTTCGCATTTAAGAAAAACAATACTGTTTTTAAATTTAATATAGTTGCCATAATGTTTTTTTGTTTTTTTAGATGTTTGGACCCCAGGAGCAGACAGATACATTGTTTAAAAATATATGCAAAATGCAAACCAGTAAAGTAAATGAGGAAAAGAAGGAATGTTGCTATCAATCAAATAAAAGACTATATAGCTTTGAAGATGCACCTAGTTTTCTAAAACATAATTCATTTATATTAACAGGATATAGAGGCATTATGAATACAAATTTATGTGTTGAAAGGTAATGTAATAATTTCTTTCCAATCATCAAAAGGCTATGTTAATGTAAAAAATGGCTATCAAAAAAGTTTATTTTAAAACAATTGTTTTTAGCTACACAGGGTGTCCCGAAAACGGCGCACTTACGGTATATGAATGTATTTGAACTATAACAAATAACAAATTACAATTTTTTCCGATGGGTAGTTTTTGAGTAAAAAAATAAAATTGAAATTTTAAATCTTTATATCAAAATCAAAAACTATACGTCGGAAAAAAACTGTAATTTGTAATATCAGAAAATAAAATTGAAATTTTAAACATTTATAAGTTTATGTCTTTGTGGTGTATGTATATGTGCTTGAATATACGAGGTTTTATTCTTATCTGTCTTGCACCATTTATGACAATCGCTACATTTTTGCTTTATTTTAAAAAACCACCCTACTTAAGTAATTCGATAGAGACACTAATTAGTGTCTCTATCGAATTGCGTAACTTTATATTCCCATAACTCATAAATCTCCAACATTTTTTAATATAAGGAAATCGCTTTTCTTAATTCTTTGGCACCAAAGATACCTGTAAATTGACGTTCCTCTTCTGAATGCAAACATTTTTCCTGGTTCAATAATTCTACACAAGCTTTGCATAATAAAAACATCAGTTTACTATTACATTTATACGGTAGAACGGTACACGGAGAGAAATGTATAGTAAATTTTAGATAGTTAAAAAAATATATTAAAATTTACTTTAAAAAATGTTTAGTTTAACAATATTAAATATTCGTCAGTAAAATATAAAGATTGTAATACGAAATAGTATTTTTTATTATACAATTTTAGTAAAGATTACAACACCAATATTATTAGATCAAAAATGTATAATACGTATTTTAATTTTAAATATATTCGTATAGTAAATTGATTTTACTATCTACAAATAGTAATATTTACTATATGATTTAATCAAATGTATTATACAAAATAATAAAATACACTATTTAGTTTCTTATGGGTTACGTATCTATTATATTTATTTTTAAAATTTACTATCTAATTATAATAAGAATTAAAAACAAAATTGGTTGAGAATAATAATATTTTACCTTAAGGTTTAATATACATGGATATTTAAAAATTACTAAATATGCATAGTAACTGGCAATATACAAGATAGTTGTCCCAAATAGTAATATATAATATAGTAAAGGGTATTATAATTATGGTAATCAGTAATATACATTTCTCTCCGTGTATGTTCGGGGTGGTACAAATCCCTAGGAGTCAGCACAACATTTAATAAGAACTTTTACCTAGTTATTGCAATCCGGCATGATTTTCACGTCCATCTAATAAATATGTATTTTCTTAAAACCAGTCAATTGAAAGAAGGTAAAAAGGATAATATACACGGAGAGAAATGTATAGTAAATTTTAGATAGTTAAAAAAATATATTAAAATTTACTTTAAAAAATGTTTAGTTTAACAATATTAAATATTCGTCAGTAAAATATAAAGATTGTAATACGAAATAAGATTTTTTATTATACAATTTTAGTAAAGATTACAACACCAATATTATTAGATCAAAAATGTATAATACGTATTTTAATTTTGAATATATTCGTATAGTAAATTGATTTTACTATCTACAAATAGTAATATTTACTATATGATATAATCAAATGTATTATACAAAATAATAAAATACACTATTTTGTTTCTTATGGGTTACGTATCTATTATATTTATTTTTAAAATTTACTATCTAATTATAATAAGAATTAAAAACAAAATTGGTTGAGAATAATAACCTTAAGGTTTAATATACATAGATATTTAAAAATTACTAAATATGCATAGTAACTGGCAATATACAAGATAGTTGTCCCAAATAGTAATATATAATATAGTAAAGGGTATTATAATTATGGTAATCAGTATATTATAATATACTTTTCTCTCCGTGTATCAAATTGACAAATAAAGCGTTCATTATAGTATTTGATTTCGCAAAGGGTAAAGGTTGTGAAGTGTATGTTGGATTATATGGATATGAATGTAAATGTAGAAATTGCACGTCGCATTTTGGTTGTTATTTAACGAGTTTTAAAGTAACGGAATATTGACATGAAATAAACGTTTTGAAAAAACGAATGATTTAACAAAAATGAAATTTCTATATTTGTTAAAAATATTACATAAACATAAAAAAAACTTCACATACAGTTCTTTCAGTCGAAATCAAGAAGGTACTTACCACAGGAATTCTAAAAAGTTTTAAAAATACGTTCTATACACGTAAAATTTAGACGAAATATGTACCTAACTACCCAGCAAACAGAAAATGACGAACGACGTTTAAGACGTAAAAATAAACGTAAAAATGACGTATATTTCTCGCCATTATCTGACCACTTATTTCATACCAGAATCAGACGAATATGCGACGTCATCAAAATGTTTCAAAATTCCTAAAAAGGTGGAATGCCTTAAGCTGCTAAGTAAGAATTTCTTACTAAGGCAAAATTACTGACCATACCGCTTCTGCTTGTAAGTTTTCTGCGAAAAGTAAGCAGTGGGCCCCACTACTTAGCTTTTTATAAAATTTAACATTTAATGTTCAACAGCACTTTTTTTGAGAAATTATTCAACAACCAAAACACGTCAATTTTGTACCTTAAAGACGTCTAAAATGGAGGTAAAGACGTATTAAAGATGACGGGACGAGATAAAGGGACGTTTTTTTACGTCTAACTAACACGTTATAATTACGTCCACAAAATATGTCATAAAAATGCGTCCAACGATGATAACTCGTATTATATACGTAAAAACACGTCTTTTGGTTGAAATATTACCAAAATGTCACGTGTTTTTACGAATTACGTCTAATTATATGACCACGTTCATTTTTAATTATATAGGAACGAGGGGTATCACCCTTATCTAATATTTTAGCTGGTTTCCATACATTATTATTTTTTAATACCGCATTATCCCCTATGTTAGGCAGTCAACAAACTTTAAACACAAGAAATACCATGATTTGCATACTAATTAATATGCAAATCATGGTATTTCTTGTGTTTCACTTGATTATCTTTGATTTTAGTTATAATGTCCTTTTCAGTGTTAGGTCTAATTTGGTGCGTGTTCTGCGACTGAATAATATTTGGGCAGAAGTAATGTTAACACCTGAAACAGGCATGTTTCTATATTCTAGTGCTGCTTCTAAATCAGTACAGGTACATACATTTATAACGTTCTGAAATGCTCTTTCAGCTGGACAATTACTTAGAAGATATTGTGATGCACTCGTTATAATTTGAAAACTTTCGGAGTATTAAAATTGTTTACATTTAAATGAGCTAAATGGCATGTTGTCACAGATAACTGTTTTTGGAATTCAATGCGTAGCAAATATACTTTTAAATTTACTCCTAAGTTTTGTTTTTTACCGGAAGTAGGTATTTCTAATCATTTTAAGTATACTTTTTAATTTACTTATAACTTCACTAGCTAGTTTTGTTTTTTACCGGGAGTATTTCTAACCATTTTGAATAATAATCTTGCATAACAAGATAACTTTTACCTTGAAAAGATATTTTGTTAAAAGAAATATTGGGAAATTTAAGGGGAATAACATTTGAGTTTGCAAACCTTTCGCAAATACAAAATTTTGTAATTAAATTGTCAATGTCTGTCATAAGACCAGGCCAGTATACAATGTTTTGCTGTCCTTTGTTTTGGTAATGCATTAGTGTGATTCATGCAATAAATTTAATATGTACAGGTACAGACAATCTGGTATTCTTCAACAACTGAGTAATAGTACCACAAGCTTTAAGGAAATAGGTCTATTTCCTTAAAGCTTGTGGTACTTTTACTCGGTTGTTGAAGAATACCAGATTGTCTTACCAAAAACATTATTCTGAAACTTTAAATAAAATTAACCATTAAAGTAATAATTCTTAAATTTATTCAAAATTATGTCATTTTTTGTAGCACTTTTAAATCCTTTTATCTTATTGACAGTTATATTTAAACCTGTGCTAATTGAGTTAATTGTCTGAATAATCCAGTTATCTAAAATAAAATAACTAAATAAAATTTAACATCATTATCTAAATTTTCGATACTTTTTGGCCAACCATTAAAGTAATAATTCTTAAATTTATTCAAAAGTATGTCATTTTCTGTAGCAATTTAAATCTTATTTTCAGTTATATTTAAACCTGTACTAATTGAGTGAATTGTCTGAGTAATCCAGTTATCTACATTTTCATTGTCATCTTTAATAAAAGATCTTGACAAAAGTGTGATTCGGTAACCAATCAAAACACACATTATTCTTTAACAACTCTCTAAGTGGGGCTGAAATTTCGGATAAATTTGGAATGAATTGTCGTATGAAATTTACCATGCCTAAAATACCCTGTAATTCCTTTTTGTTTATGGGAATGCCAATAGAATTTATTGCTTTTACTCTATTTAAATGAATTTTTATGCCCTCAGAGGAAAATATGTGCCCTAAATACCTTACAGACAAAACTTAATATTAAATCTTAGATTTATTAAATTTAACCCCCAAATTTATAGCTTTATGAATTACTTAAAATTGTATCGTGTTCATTTTTGTTTTTTGCTGCTATTAATAGATCGTCAAAATATAACTACAGTATCTGGGTAAAATGTAATGGTAGTGCACTACGCCAAAGTTCGAATGTTAAGTTTTTGGGGTTAACTTTTGATGAAAATCTTTCTTGGGAGCTGCATATAAGTGATCTTGCTAATAACTATCTTCAAAAAACTATTGCATGACCCAATTAAGAGAAGTGGTAAATTTACCCACATTAAAGGCCTTTTATTATGGAAGTGTCCAATCGATTCTTTCTTATGGAATATTGTGTTGGGGTAATAGCTCCTCTAGTAATAGAATTTTCATAGCACAAAAACGTATTTTAAGGTCTATGTTAAACTTACCCTATAATAGTCATTGTAAAACTTATTTTA